GGGCAAACGTGAGAAAAAAAAAATCCACACTCTTCTGGAATGTTCCCTCCGAGTGACTTTTGGGTGTGTCTTTGTGGGGTTAGTATTTGTCAATATGATCTGGAAAACTGCAGTACACGGAGTATGCAGCGCAGTACCTCTTGTATGGTGTGATAAGGTGTGATAGGATTTGGGTTCCTGTGGTGGAGGCAGAGAGGATTGTGCTGCAGGAGAAATGACTTGGTTCCATGTTCAGGTTGATTCATGTCATCGTGGCAGAGAACGGATCTGTTTTCCTGCTGTGTGAGGGAGGGTGGAGGACGACGAGTCCTCCTCGGAGGGAGGCGTTGACATAGTTTTTACACCAGCAGTGAATGTTACCTCGTTTAAAGACCTACGGGTATGGAGATTCAAACGAGTTTTCAGGGAAAGTTAAAGATGAAGTTACTGATAAATAGTCAGTTATAAAAGGGCTTCTGTCACAGGATTGCCGGTTTGAATCCCACTCTGATGTGTTGAGCAAGCATACCCCCGTCATCCCTGGGTCAGATGCAGAGGTCACATGTTCTGACATTTTCCACACTGCGTTTTCTAACTGTTTGTGTGTCTTGTTCTGCAGTCTGTTCGCAGGCAGCATATCCAGGATGATCTACATCAGCGCTGGAGGTTTCATCTTCCTGGGAGCTTACGAGAAGGTACGACGCACCTTGCTATAGCGGCGTTCAGGACAGCGGCCCATTGGTCGACGGGACTCTCAGAAGCAGTCTTTGTTTCCGAGCTGCTGGGACACTGAGGACAGAACCACCAGCTGATGATGAAAGCTGGAGACATTCGTCAACAGCTGGGTTTTAATAAATAGACTGTTTTTTTTTTTATCTAAGTCTACAGTGTTTGTTTGATGAGCTTCAATATATATATGTAAATATATATATATTATATATGTATATTATATATGTAAATATATTATATATATACAGTATATAGACACACATACATATCCACATATCTAAATATATATATATAAATGGATTAACTAAACTGTCAAGCTGCTGTTATTCTGCTAAATGTGAACAGGTGGATTTGTCCAGGATTCACTTCTTCTCCAGAGGATCTTCACCTCTCCCTCATATTCCCTAAAAAAAAAAAAGCATTTTTAAGACCATAAGAATCCTCCTTTAGGTCAGATTGATGAGGACGATGGTGAATGACATCTGCAGGAACGTTCAGCCTCAGTAGCAGTTGCAGTTTCTCGGTGATTTAGCTCAGCGTTGTCCTTCAGCAGTGGCTGCAGAGTCCTGGAGGAGACTGATGTCCTCACAGGTGGGACTGTTTGTCAGGCTGCCTGTCACTGGGCTGTTGGACAACAATGGTCAGCGTGTGATTGGTGGAGGCTTGCATGCGGGGGGAGGGGTGGTGTCAATCAAGTGGTGACAAACATCCATCTGGAATGCACATTCTGGCCAGGCGGTGACCCTCGGTCTGCTCCGGGTCTGTGGCAAATATTTTAAACAGTCCACAGAAAGAAAAAATACGCCTGCTCTCTGTGGCACTTCAGGGAGTCTCCTGCTCAGAAGATCAGCCGTGTTTGTGTTTATGCACCTCCTACACAACTGCTTTGAAAATCTCTCTGTTTCACGTCTTCATGCTCTGTTTAAATTCATGGCTTCTCCATAAACACTGTGACATGTGAGCGGCGCTAACTGCTAACTCAGCTGTTTACCTCAACGTTGTTACCGAGACCCTGAACTGACAGTCAGGACCCCCTAACACTGGGCCCAAGGGATCTGGTTGCAAGTGGACAGTACTAAGTACAGGTCAGAAGTCTGGCTGCTCCATAGGTTCATTTGTGATCGAATAACTGTGACTGTGGACTGAAGACCGTGAGAAGGCTGTTATTATATTTCATCTATTCATCTTATTCTACATCATCTGCTGGGTGAGCAGATCATTGGTTCAAGACTGAAACATCTGGAAAAACTGGTGAGGAGGACTGGCTCGGTTCTAGACTGGCTCGGTTCTAGACTGGCTCGGTTCTAGACTGGCTCGGTTCTCTTGGTTCTAGCGTCAAATAGTCTTATACTGTTTGCCTATTTACTGATATTGTTGTATCTGTTTCGTTGTAGTTATTAAGGAACAGTAGCTGCTCTCCAATGTCTCCTGTGGTTCAACCATGGAATTCTATTCTGGGTTTTCCTCCAGGGTGATGTTGTCAGGTGGAGCTGCAGGACCACGTCCTCCTGCTCACCTTTGAAGAGACCAGTGAAAACAGAAATTAAACCGAAATCTCAAATTTAGCCTTTCTCTATTCTTCACAGATCTCGGAG